AGGACTACGGCAACTAATCTATATTTTATACTCCTAACCTGATATCCATTTAACAAATGACACACAATCATAAGCCATTTTCGCATGATTCAAATCGATAATCCTAAAAGTTAGCCAATAAGCTAACTAGGCCAAACACAATAAAAGGTACACACCTGTCACAGTGGTGCTAAAGCTCTCTTGGCAGATCCTGCATGAAGCCTCGCCAATCAAGTTCTTCATATCACTGAAACAGAAGAAAGTAGTGTTTCACAACAACAAAACTTGCAAGAGAGAAGCAAGATAAAGGACTGAAAACAAATGCTGATAAATGTAGAGCATCACTTCCTGCCATTTGTTGCATTCATTGACTCATAAACAAGCAAAAAGACCAATATATTACATCCTCTTCTTAAAATAAAACTTATTCCATCCTTCCAAATCTTCTTTTGTCCCATTTTTTCATCCCTTACTCACCAAAATACTAGAGATTGGCAAGCTAAACAAAATGGACATCTCCTTGACTTTATTTAACACGTGACATCCATATAGACTTGAGAGGACTTTATTTCATAATCTCAAATGATTTGGGGTCCAGAAGTAATGGTGCTTATGTTCAGATATGATTTTTGAAAAAACATATATTATCTGCACATTCTCCCACATTGTCATACAGGTCAGAGGGAAAAGGAAAATAGCTTTGTGGAACACTTACATGCGGCATTCTACACTGGTACCATGATTGCAGAAGGGACAGCTGAAAACAGTATCAAGTTTGTCCATTCTCTTCTTGGGTGGTGGCTTTGACTTGGCCTTCCTCTTACCCATCTCTCAGTTGAAATATTCTCCTTTAGTACTGTTGATAAACCAGATTTTAACTCATGTCTAATATAAATCATTTGGAAGATTAACAATCCCTAGACATACAGCTGTAATGAAACACGTAAAAACATATTCAAGAGACAGCAGTAGATAGTACTACACAAGGATTTAAATTCTTTTTCTTCCTTAATGTTCTCAAGTGTCTACTCCAGCATACCAAACAGGAAAAAGTGGAACAAATTATCTCTCAATTTGAAAGTAAAATTCAAACCCAAATTGAAGGCCTATTCACCTAGATGGTAATGTAATAAACTAAACAGCAATTAATGTTTATGGAATCGACAGAAGTAAGCTGGTGCCTTTTAAGTTCAACACACAACATTCAACTCAAAACCAATGGGCAAGACTTGACTACTATAAACAAAACCCCGGAACAAACAAATTCTAGTAAAATAAATTAAGAGAAAAGAAATGAAAAAAAAAAGTGAAAACACCTTCAATTTCTTTGAAACAAACACCAAATAGTCTAGTTCCAACAAAATTAAAAGCATCCTGACTTGGATTAAAATGTTCGAAGAAATATGAATTCTTTGTCAAAATCAGTATGTTTTTAGATAGAATCAACATAGATTGCATATTATTATCCAAGATTAGCGTAGAAAAATTATATAGCCACAAGAATTGGAATTACACGCATCGATTAATCGATAACAGAAATCTTCAAAACTAGGAAACTCTAGAAAGCAAATTGGAACGATATCAATATGATCAATGCATACGTATTCATAGAAATACAGGAAAAAGTGAAGTTTATACCGAAAACCCTATAAAATATTGTGCAAAAAAGGGAAAAAAAATAAGGGTAAGAAAATGGGAGGATAAGCTTTAACTTACAATTCCTGTAGCTGTTCCACAAGATTTCGACCAAATATCGTTTGCGCGTGGGATTTGGGATGAAGCGGGGATGAACTTATTTATAGAGGGGATTCGTTCTATTGTAGAGCAAATTTTTCTATTGCCAGATTGTTGTACAAGTTCTGCTCCACGATGTATAATTCAAGGATGCATTCCTTCTAGTGGCGGTCATTATCTGAAAATTGAATTGTGTTACGACGTCGTTTCCTTTGTCAGTCAAATCCGAGTGCCTCTGTTACTCCGTCGTTTCATTGTCGTTGCCTCAATAGGATAATTGCAATGAACGTCATCAACTTTTGTTCATTTTCACAATTATGTTAAAATTATTTAATCATATTATTATTCCCAAACTTTCATTAGTTAACATATTATTCTCCTGATGACGTCTTCGTTAAAAGAAATCCATTAAGAGGATGTAAAAAAATTTGTTTGTCCTCATATTTTTAAAAGAGTAAAATTAATAGGTTTGAAAAAATGTATGTCCTTTTATTTTAAAATTAATATAATACAAAAATTGTTATCGGAGAAAAATATATTAACTAATTGAAGATTAATGATAAAAATGAGATTGATAAAAGTTAAATACGTAAATTCAAATATAATTATTATTTAGAATTTAATTTATTTCAAAATAAACGTCCAAATAAACATTAAAAGGTCACGCACTTTGCAAGTGATGAGTGAACGGTGGTATAATCATCCAAAAATAATCTCTCTCCAGTTTCAATACTTGTTATTTCAAAGTGAATAAGCTCCACGGGGCATAACTCAGTGGTGTAAAAGACAAGAGTTAGATAGTCTCAAACTTACTAGCAGTCGCAGTGTGAGGGTTCGATTCCTGAAATATGAAATTGGACTCTTTGTGGGTACCAGTGTACGGGCAAGCTCTTGTTTCCTGACCTGTTGGGGCACATCCCGCAATTTACCTCCCCCACGATGTTTCAGGAACGAGGTGGTGGAAATCCTCAAGATTGGGGTTCAACCTTTTTATTTCAAAGTGAATAACAAATTGTGAGAAAGTAACATTCATCAAAGTGGATGAAAATTACTTTATACTATTATTCCGCCAATAAATTATCAGATGTCTATAGTGTGAATACCTTTTACTATCTATTTAGACATTCTCTGTCGAGCATTTCGTGAGATCCACATGCATTACTCACTTATATATCATTCATTTTTATCTATTTATAATTTAAGCAGTTTATACACTTTGTAAATATGTTCTTATAGTGTGGGTTGGTTTCTTTTCTAGTTGTGTACATGGATTTTAACATAAAAACAGTTTGTTATTTACTCGGTAGTATATACAATGTTATATTTGAGGGTGAACCATTCGATTTGGATGATTTTTTTT